AGATTATTGTGCAGGAAAAAGATGGGGTCGTTGAAGTCGATGTAATGAAGATAATGATTGAACCTGGTGCTGAGGTAGCTAGTAGTAGTACACAGAATGACTCTCAAACTCAGACTCCCCAAGAAGGCATGGAGCACACCTGTATGGATGGCGAGAGCATTGAATTGCCAGTAGGTGTGAAACTGGATCATCTCTCGGGAGAAGAAGCAGACTCCATAGCCCAACTTTTAGCTAAGCATCGATCAGCCTTTGCCAAGAGTGACATGGACCTCGGAAACTGTAAGGTGATCCCACATCAGATCCGAACATCGGATGGACCACCTATTCGCCTGCCCTATCGTCGAATTCCCCCTAACCACATGCCAGAACTGAAAGCCCTGCTGCAAGAGATGCTAGAGAAGGGAATCATCAAGCAATCATGCAGTCCCTATGCGAGTCCGGTAGTACCAGTGCGTAAGAAGGATGGATCGATGAGAATATGCATCGACTACCGGCAGCTGAATGCTCGTACAGTACGGGATTCCTTCCCCCTTCCGAGGATTGAGGAGACTCTGGAAGCCCTTGGAGGAGCGAAATTCTTTAGCTCTCTTGACCTCGCTAACGGCTATTTCCAAATAGCAATGGATGAGAACTCCATCGACAAGACAGCCTTCAGAGTTCCATGGGGTTTATTTGAGTTTTTGAGGATGCCCCAAGGATTGGTAAACAGCCCAAGTACCTTCCAGAGGGTAATGGAGCTAGTATTAGGAGATCTCAACCTGACCCAATTGGTGATCTACCTCGATGACATTCTTGTGTTCTCAAGTACACTGGAGGAGCACTTGACTCGACTGGAAGCAGTTTTTAGACGACTAACAGAGTATGGTCTGAAGCTGAAAGGAAAGAAGTGTCAGTTCCTTCAAGAAGAAGTCCACCACCTCGGGCATGTCGTCACTGCCTCGGGCATATCCGTTGACCCTAAGAAGATAGAGACTATCAAGACATGGTCCGTACCCAAGACTACTTCTGAGTTGAGATCCTTCCTTGGACTTGCGTCCTACTATCGTAGATTTGTTCCAGGATTTGCAAGCATTGCTACTCCCATGCATGCTTTGATCGGTCATTGCCAGCCTTCCTCTAAGAAATCCAAGAAGCGACACGGAAGCACTTCTAGTCACACAAAAGAGTTTGTTTGGACAGAAGAGGTGGATAAGGCGTTTTGTACGCTGAAGGATGCTCTAACGACCACACCAGTCCTTGGATACCCACAGTTTGGCAAGAAGTTTGTGGTGGAGATAGATGCCTCCCTCAAGGGACTAGGTGCATGCTTATCACAACACGGAGAAGATGGGGGACTACACCCACTTGTATACGCAAGCCGAGGACTTCGCCAGGCTGAGAGGAGTTATCCCGATTACTCAAGTTTCAAGCTAGAGCTGCTTGGTCTGAAGTGGGCGATAGCTGATAAGTTCCGGGAGTACCTTATAGGAAGTCAGGTCGAAGTACTCACTGATCATAACCCTCTAGCACACCTAGGAACTGCAAAGCTAGGAGCAACAGAGCAAAGGTGGGTTGCTCAGTTAGCCCCATTCGACCTACAGATCAGATATCGACCAGGAAGAACTAACAAGTGTGCTGATGCTCTCAGCCGTCGACCAGTTGAGTCAGAGCATGAAACCATGGAGCCATTGGTTAAGCAGGTTCTTCACTGTTCAGTGATGCCAGTTGAAGTAGAACAGAACATAAGTAATGATCAGCCAGTATCAGAGATGATGACACCTGGTGTGCTCCCATCGTATGACCTTGAGCAATTGTCAACACTCCAGCAGGATGACGGAGGGCTGAGCGTTGTGTTGAGTCTATGGAGAGCTGGATGGAAACCAGGGGAGTTGATACCAAATAACACAGCTGAAGTGAGAGGTTGGCTTCGAGAATGGACACAAATAGTGGAGAAGCAAAAAGTGTTATTCCGACGAGTTATGATACAAGGGGATGTTGTTGATCAACTCCTTGTCCCAGTTAGTATTCGACAGACTATCCTGCAGGCCGTGCATGAAGGATGGGGCCATCAAGGTGTAACTCGGACTCTAGGCTTGTTGCGTTCAAGATGCTTTTGGCCAGGTCTACAAGGCGATGTTCGTCGACATATCAAGAAATGTTTCAACTGTACAGTGGTGAAAGCACCTACCCCCACAGTAAAGACACCAATGAGGCATCTGCTCGCATTCAAACCACTAGAGGTCCTTGGAATTGATTTTCTCAAGATGGATCGGGGAAAAGGAGGTTATGAAAACATACTCGTCATGTCAGATGTATACACCAAGTACGCGCAGGCTATCCCTTGTAGGGATCAAACGGCCCACACAGTAGCTCGAGTCCTCAGAGACAGCTGGTTCGTCCACTATGGAATACCACTACGGCTCCACTCAGATCAAGGGAGAGATTTCGAAGGAAACTTGATCCAGGAACTATGCGTCTTGTATGGTATTAAAAAGTCAAGGACTACGCCTTACCACCCAGAGGGAAACGGACAAGTGGAGCGTTTCAATAGGACATTGTGCAGCATCATCCGATCGATGGAGCCATCAGATAGGAGGAAGTGGCCCGAGACATTGTCCCATCTAGTGTTTATTTATAACACCACACCACATCGATCCACTGGATATTCTCCATACAGACTGATGTATGGGAGAGAACCATCTCTACCCATAGATCAACTACTGTCTCGTACTGAGCAATCATGGGATGAAGACTTTGTCGAGACACAGGCAGCTGCATTGAACAGGATGAACAAACTTGTTGAGAAGAATCTTAAGGAGATAGTGTTAGGGAATAAGATCAAGCATGACAAGCAGGTGAAATCTTCTCCCTTGGAGGTTGGGCAGCAAGTATTACTGAAGAGGATGGCCTTCACGACGAGGCATAAGCTAAAGGACAAGTTTTACCGAGATCCGTATGTCATTGTTGATGTCAATAGAGAAGGTGATGTCTATAGTATTCGTCCAATTCATGGCGGGAAGGTAAAGACGGTAAACAGAAAACTACTGATCCCTGACCCAAGGAGTAGTAACGCAGTAGTTGAACCTCCCATTCAGATATGGCATTCGAATGATGAAGATAGAAGCCAGTCCAGTGATAGTGGAACTGATGAGTCCAGCAGTGAAGAGGAAGGACATGATATATTCCAATTTTATCCTCTATCTTTAAATGAGCAAGAAGCAGCATGTCAAGTACAGGCTCAGAATACTCGTCGTTCAAATAGATTAACAAAGGGGGTACATGGGAATCCTTACCATCTTCCACGGTCAACTCTTCCTAACAGTTGAGATATATATCACTTGTGAAGCATGATTTTGTACATTGTATAGTTTTTGTGCTATGTTTTGATATTTTGTGATATTCCAGCTATATAATTTTTGCTTGTATAAATGATGTATTATTGAGGGCAATAAGTGTTTGTCAGGATGGATTGTGGTATAGTGAGAAAAACTTGATTTGTTATCTTTAAGGCCACCTTAGACTAGACAGAGAGGGGCCTGTGTACTTTGCCTCATTACACATATTCAGAACTCACATACTAAATAGTTCAAATTGAGAGAGTTGTAATTATACTGAATCTGGATTGTTTATGGAAGTGTAGGTTATTGATAGTATGGTTTGTTAAACATATCTTTGTTTAGACATATTAGGTTGCAGAAAGACTAAATAATTGATTTAGGCGGAAGAATATTAAGAGAGTGATTAGGCAGTTTGGGAAGAACTTTCTTGTGTCTACAGAAAGTTTAGTGCATTGTTCAACCAACTCGGTGAGGAGAGCTGATTGGCAATCAGAGTTTCGGAGTAGAGTATTCAGAATATTTCATGTTTCTGTCGAGGTATGTTAATTGATTTTTGTTATAGTGTAGAATAAGGACTATAGTCATGTTATTCTTGATATTGAGTAGAAAGAATGAAGGAAAATGAAGTATTAATAGTGAAGGGATCGCATCACTGGTTAGAGGTCATGAGCACATACAGTGTATGGCCTAGTACATGATACACAATGTACACACGTGTAGTTCGTTGTGCATGAATGACCATGCGTCATCTCGTTGTAGTGGCTTTGTAAACGATGTAAGGCAGAGGATCTTATGTTTATTATAATGTTGATGAGTGTAAATACACATTTAATTTACTTGTATAGCTAAGTGTTATTTAGTTATGGTATTGAATAGTGTAGCTTGAGTATAGTGCACTGAGGGAAGTTTGGAGGGATTTGATTAGATAGAAATGTTTGGGTAAAAGTCAGTTAAGACTGTGTTGTGCTGTGTAAGCAATATTCTCAAATAAGAGGGGGTACTCCATTGTAAACAAATAAGATGGCAGCCTCCATGGGAAGGGTTTATGGTGCAGTTAGTTAAAAATAGGAGTCTACTTATTTCAGTAGATTGGTGTTGGTGCTTGATATAAATTATATCATACTATTATTAGAGAGTAGAGTTTATTAAGAGTTGGTGTATTATTCATTTAATTGATAGGAGTTCCTTTCGTGGATGGAGCTAGAGGTTCAACAGTTGTCGAGGTGTCGCTGATTGACCACATTTCTGATTGAGAAATATAGTTCTGGTGCTTGTTGGAGGTATGACAAATTGAAGCATTTGTTTACATTTCTGTTTCTCTTAATCTAGATTCTTTAATACTCAATGTCTGAAGTTGAAGTAATATTGTCATTTTACTTAACGTTTGACTCTTTTATTTCATTGGTTTGAGTCTTTGATTTAATTGGTTCAGTTATTTTATAATGAACAGTGACAATTTTAGTAGAGTATAGATACCACATTATTCATCTGTGTATTGATATACTTGATGCATTTTTACCTTTATAAATAGGACTTAAATTGTCATGATTACATTATCGCATTATAATGGTTTTGATAATAACAATTTGATGATATATAGTTGACTAGTTATTCATGGCAAGTAGTGATATTGTCTTTGTTCTAGATTCCAGCGTTTGAGTTGAAGAAGCTGGTTCCATTATTGTGTCGTCGTAGCAACAAGTAGTTGTTTAGCAGTCCTAGTTGGGTGAGTCAGGATGGTAGAGCGTGATAGATAGTTTTGAACACGAACACTGCTTGTTATATTACTTCTGTTTCAGGTGTTGATAACAATGTGTTATAACGAATTGTAGGTAGGCAGTCAATGTACATTAATTAGACATTAATTAGAATGAATATCCATGACTATGCATATTTCAGGGGATTATTTTGATGTTAATCTTTAATAGAGTTGATGCTTTCATATTTTGGTGACCTGTATTCATACTTTCAGTGAAGAAATTAGTTCGTCATATTTCACACCAAATAGAGGGAATATTTTGGAATGATAAGAAATACATTTTCTTCTTTTACATTGAATTACTCACTCGATGAATATTGAAGTATCATTGACTTGGTGTTAAAGTGATGTACATTATTGTTGACTCTAAATTGTTGCATGAAGAGATTTTGAACATGTAGTTACTGATGTTCTTTCTTTCGTTGTTTCTTTTCTGCCTTTGCAGAGGTTTTTCTTCTTGTATCACACTTTATGCAGATAGCTCAAGTGGGAAATAAAATCCCGCTCATATCCTACAACCTCGAGTCGTGTCATTGTGTTCTGGTATTGCATTCTTCCTGACAACCGCCCCCCCCCCTTTCTCTCGACTTACCAAAATACTACATCGCAATAGCAAAAAGTAGGACGGATGGACAGACAACCCCAAAACATATTTTATCCGGCGCCACCTTTGGTGGGTGGATGTATAATTACAGTTATCATAATGGGATGACGCAAAAGAATATATTTTGTTTGTAGAACATGTGCACATTAAGAAAGTTGGCATACATTGATTTCTGCTATCACTAAAAGAACTTGAACTATATTGGTGTCCAGAAAATATCTAGGATTAACAAAGTTAAATTAGGGAATTGTAAAACATGAATGGGGTCTGATAAAAAAAAATTATTTCTGTAAATTGTGGCAAATGTACATAGAAATAGAGCACTCACTATCTCTAGTAAAAACTTCAGTTTTATGCACAGTTTTCTATATATCTTCTGGTGTAGAAATAATTAGTATCTGTTTACCTGTGCTGTTGGGAGTTAGAGGTTCATTGAGTAATCTGTCCGATAAGCCACCCAAGTCAATCTCTCGAAGTGCATCTGCCAAAAGCTGTCGTCTGTTTGAATGTGGAGGTTGCTGCTTGACCTTCCATTTCATGAATACTCGCAAAAATGCATTGGAATAGTTATTCGACATCTGAATCAGGATTGCCTGTATCTGAGCTGAGGGGATCCCTAGAGATATCCCTACAGCATCGTAGTAAGATGGAGGGATAGCATGGGCCAGCTTCAGGAACTCCATATCACTGACAGTACTGTAAAATGAATAATAAATCAATTGGGAATGATAGGATATTAGCTAGAGAGCATCCTATTGGCTGATAAGCTATCATGTGACACTTAACAATTTTTATTATGTGCTCGAGCGTGCAATAAAACAGCCGAAGGATATCAGAATACATTGACGGTGATATTAACATTTGAAACAGTTTGGCAACCTTGATTTCACTGAGTCACAACATGGCGTATATTCTTTTGTTTTGTGCTTGCCGAACAAAGCAGTAGTCGTCATATTGTGTCCCAACTCGAATCGGGTTGGCCAAACTCTGTGTATAGATGGCTCTGGCAGTGTAATACAATAATGATGGTGATATAAGAAGAAAAGGATTACTAAGTACTTTTAAGAATAATAATAATAAGGCCAAATAACAAAAATAACCTGTTTCTTTTCCGACTTTTCCCGCAGTATACTATTTACTATTTTGCGATTTTTTGCTTTTTTCCCAAGATGGCTGTCATGCTAATTATAGCTGGCTAAGCCTATTTATTGACAGATATTGTGCTTTGTGAGTATAATAATGATGCAATGTATGAAAAAACAAATGATTTGTATCACTTTAGAAGCTTTTAAAACAAAATGTATATATCCCAGGCTTCTCTTTTGTGAGTGGCTTTATTTGTGTGGCTTTTTGGGGGGTTTTGGGGGCCGTTTTTCTTCTGAATAGTAAATAGTAAAAAATAAAGGAGGCGGCGGGGAGGAGACGAGAAACACTTCATTTTGGTTACTTGGCCTAATAATAATAATAATGTTTAAATTATTATTATTACTAAATTAGATGATGATAATCATGATATCATCATCATCATCATCATAATTATTTTCTGTATCAAACATAGTCAATGTAATTGGCTTACATGTACTCTGAATCATCAGGTCATCGCGACAGGTTTGGTTAAGGAGCCGACCTTTTGTGAAAACATGCCTCTTTTTATTTACAAAATGTCAGAGACTAATGTGAAATAAACCCCTCTCATGTATAAATAGTCTGGTTTAATTTGCCAGACACTTTGTGAAAACCCTACAGCAATGTACGAAAGATTTCATCCTGAACGTGCACCTACAGTCCTACATATGATCTTTTGTTTCACGAAAGGTTGTGTAACGTAATCACCCGACCAGATGCGACGACCCGATGAATCGAAGTAAGCCAGTACATGCATACCTTTCTGCAGTGTCAGGACCTGGATTGGTCTCTACATCACCAGATCTCATCAAGAGGATCAGGAGCAGATAGAGAAGGCAGAATCCATCCATGGTGTAAGATATCCTTCTCATTCAACAGAAGTTTAGTTCTCTGGAAAATGGTGCTGACATAGGCTACAGTACCTGAAAATAATATTCAGAAATATCTACATTATATACATAAAACAGATTGAATACAGATTCTTGAAATTTGCAGCCGTATTTTAAACTGTTACTGTCAATGGATGACGACATCTTCCTTCATGCGCAGTAACAGTTTAAAATAAGGCTGCAAGAATTTCAACACGGAGATCAATTTTGACGAAGGAAATCTGGGAAAAAGACCCTTAAACGCATCGTACAATCAACCTGGTAAGTGGAAACGGTGTAGTTTAACCCAAAATCATAAATATTGGAGTATAAATGCATCGGATATGCATCCGCTAAATTGAGTATTTTGGGCAGTTTTGTGGCCAGATCTAGCCACAATGTTTGCACATTCTGTCTCTAAAGAGAGGAGCGTACCCTACCCAAATAAGTGGCTAACAAACGAAAGAGACAGAAATTCTCTGTCTAGGGGAGACCAAGAATCACTTTAAAAGTATGTTGCTGGTACCGGCTGCCAGAGCTAAAGCCAGGGTAGGGCATAGGGAAGTATATCCATGGCTGTAAACTTTGGGGAACTGCTTGGAGGAATTTTGTTTTCTTCGGACGAACAGCGCTCTATATCATGAATATTCATATTTGCTGCGCTAATACCGTGCATGCGTACTGTCTCTTCGCTATGTTGAATCGAATCCGGGCTAACTCGCCCCACGGGACATCTCGCCCCGGCCTCAAAGACTGGGGCGAGATGTCCCGACAAATTTAATCGATCGAGAGATACCAATGTGTATATGTTTGTGCTCATTGTGACTTAATAATGCCATTTCCAACCACAATCTGTAATGTAATTGTGTTAAATGATACTATTGAAGACAATCTATAACTTCTCTTTAGGTAAAATGACCAAAAAATGGCATTTCGGACAATTTACTCACAGCTCGCAAATCGCATTGCCGCACGTACATTAAATGTGCGTTGTATCGACTCGGACCACTGAAATTCGAGCAGTGTTTTTGTCGGTAAATCACTGCAAAAATATCATTTTTATCTCGTATGAAGGTCTATTTTTATTCCTGACACAGATTTCATTATTGAGAAGTCGAATATAGTACATTTTAGACGAGATGGTTGATGTTTGTTCACATTCTTTCGTCCTGGCCGTAAATTAGCAGACTACTGCCTAGTGCTACCGCAGCAGCTCAGCTCAGTGTGCAGCTAGCCGTACAGCGCCGCCGGCCGGGTCGGCGGGGGAATTCACTGACTCGTGCCGGGCTGCTGCACTGCATTGCATGATTGTACTGCCCAATTTGATCGAGTGATGTGTGAGTATAACTAATCAAACTAGATCTATATCTACTGTATTATCATTATTCATTCCGAGTAGAATATCCAATTTGATTTAAACTAGACCTAGACTCTAGATCTATCATATACTAGATTAGTCATTCAGAGTAGACCTAGAATATTCGATTAATAAAGGAATGGAATTTTTCTTTTTCATAATCAGATAATCATATTTTACTCCTAAAAGTTACCCCCCCAAAATGTATTTGGTGGATCTCAGATATCATTGAGACCCCCAAATATTTTGGTGGGACTCTGATATCATTAGACCCCCAATTATTTTTGGTAAGGCTAGGATCACGGAGCCCCCCGATATTTGTGAGGGGCTCAGATATCATTGAGCCCCCCCCCCCCAATATATCTGAGACCCCCAATATTTTTTTTCAGATGCAGTGTTGAATTGTCGTCAAGCTGAGGCTCAATACGCCTCAGCTTGACGACAATTCAACACTGGATCTGAAAATGCTTACAGCTTAGTTATATTCTTATATAATAGACTGTTGCATAGGCTTAGGAACCGGGGTGGCTTGGGGGGGGGGGGGGGGCACAGCCCCCAATAAAAGTATTGGGGGTCTCAGATTTCATTGCGCCCCACCCCCTAATATTTTTGGCGGGGCTTAATATAGATATCATTGAGCCCCCCAATATATTGGCTGGGCTCGGTTATCTTGAGCCCCCCCCCTAATATTTTGTTCGGGCTCGGATAGGCTATCATTGACCCCGCCCTCCCCAAATATATTTGCACACTTATGTTCTGGGCTGGAAGCTTCATGCGTTTCTATAATCTACTGATCGACTTAGTATTCAAATTATTATTAAAACTGAGAGTTTATGAATTTTGGAAGATTGATTGAGGGTGGCTCCTTTGTCAACAACCAGTATTGTCTCGACACACGTACTGCACACCAGCCAGAGGCGGCCCTCCCGGGGGGCAGGGGGGCACAATGGCCTTCCACTTTTTCAAGCACCCGAAAAGTGCCCCTTTAACTTTGTAAAAAGTGCCCCTTTTTACATATGAATAGTGCCCCTTTAACTTTGACAAGTGCCCCTATTAATTTGTAAAAGTTCCTCTTCCCCTTTTCAACTCTGATAAGTGCCCCTTTTATTTGGACACGTGCCCCTTTTCCTTCGACAAGTTCCCTTTTTCCTTTGAAATAAGTGTCCAATTTCCATTCTCATAAGTGCCCTTTTCAATCTCTAGTAAGTACCCCTTTTCAGGTACGAGAAGTGCCTCTTTTCACTTTTGATTAGTGCCCTCTTCACCTCTGATAATTGCCCTATTCAAATCTGAGAGGTGCCTCTTTTACTTTGACAAATGCCCCTTTTCCTCTGTAATAAGCGCCCCTACCCCTTTTAATAACTACCCCCCATTTTAACTCGGATAAGCGTACCTTATATTTTCACATGTGCCCCCTTTCCCCTTCTCATAATTACCACCTTTCGTCTTTGATAAGTGCCCCGTATATTTTAACATGTGTTTCTTTTTTTTTATAATAAGAGCCACTTCCTCTTCTCATTACCCTTTGAACAATATGTGCCCAATTTCCTTTCAACATCGTC